TAACGGTGCTGAAATATTCAGTAACGATCAAAGTACTTAAGAGGGCCAATAATAGTTAGGCCTGGAATATTGAGTAACCGATAGGAGTATAACAAAAGCGTCTGTTAAAAAGAGCGTAAGATGTAGCATCTGCTGGAAGTACGTTGGAAGTCTGGCCGGATGACCAACGGTCTGTAGAGAGTACGTCAAACTTGTAGAAACTAGCCAACTATAGGCTTATAGTCTATTTTCATTTATTTCTGTCAGATTAACAGTCGCAGTTACGCCTACAGCTAACTGTCGCGATTTTCCCATCAGAAATCGCCCAATTCGTCTCCCATCAGAAGACAAAAACACAACAACTTGCGGGTCGGATTTCACAGCGTTTTCGCAAGTTACTGAGCTTCCATCAAGCTCATATTCTTGCAGTCACACACACAGCTGACTGCAGCGATTGTCCTTCAGAATTTCGCTGATTTTGTCTCCCAACAGAGACAAAGACAATCAACATTTCCGAATCCGTCTTCCCATCATAAGCGGACAATACAACACCTCGCGGATCGATTTTTTCAGCGTTTCGCAAGTTCTTTGGGCTCCCATCAAGCCCATCCTCTACCACCGCTCGAATTGAATAATTCTTTGGGGTTTTTCATACCCATACTTTTCAGTTTGAGTGAAGAACTCGTCAACGATTGGCAACGAGTTATTTCCAAGTTTTGGTCCCACGACGACTAGGAGTTTTTTGGCTTATTGTGGAGTGTTGGCATTGAGCGGCCCTATCGCCCTTGCCATTCGATTTGGAGTATTTTAATTCAAGAGAGCGCTGAGTCTTGCCAGCTCGTGCTGCCCCTGTTCATCTCCTTCTTGTTGTCAGGAGTTTTCAACGGAGCAAGGGATCCGATTTCTCCTTTTGATTGAATAGCTTCTGTGGTGGAAGTCTCAAAAGCGAGAGATCACCTTCTTGGTGCAAATCAAGAAGTAAAACGATCTGGAAAGGGCAGTTGTGCACCCAATCCTGCAGTCCTACACCAGCACATCAGGAAGCAAACCTTCAGGCGTGTTGTTTCAATTTTACTTTGACCATCATCTGACTCCAACCAGTCAACTGATCTTCTGATCAACTGAGTCGACTGAGTTTCATTCCTCTGAGTCAACTCCTGCATGGTCCGGATCGGTCAAAGAGAATTGCAAGCTCTGAACATTGACACCAACATCACTCAACTGCCCGCCACTAGTGCTACTCAACCATCAGGCACACGAGTGACAATGTCCACTGCTGGCAACTCAACAACAAACCGCAACCCCTCTCGAGTCCTACAACCTGGACATCTTGAAACTAGTCTTGTGTACATCCTGGAAACTGTCTTTGGCTACAGCGCTGGCAGTATTCTTCATCTTGCACTTGACTTGTGTGGTTGCAAATGTTTCCTCGACCTTGTTGGCATGGATGATGCTGATATTGACGGACTACAGTATCCTGTCAGTCAGCCACGTGATGCTAACGGTGACCCACTACCTGATGTACTTTGGGATGTGCCGAAACCTCTTAAGGCATATCTCCATGGGATCCGTGGCTACATCTACCACCAAGAAACTGTGCTCAAGGATCCAGTTACCCTGTCTAACTGTATCCTCATTGACCCTGATGATTTTGATACATACAGGGCCTCCAGTGCATTCATCGTGTTCTGCAGCCGCACCATCCCACAGCCTCTTGTCTCCAAGCTATCCAGACAATCACCAGCTGAGGAATTTGATCGGGGCATTAAACTAGATGCCAACCTCTATCCAACTTTGTCTGATGATAAGCAATGGGATAGTTACCTTCGTAATCTAGAAGCTACTTGTCGCACTCACAGATTGAAACAGGTCCTTGACCCCAAGTACCAGCCCACCAGACTTGATGAGCAAGACCTCTTTGACAGACACCAATCCTTCTTGTATCAGGTGTTTGTGCGGACCCTCCTCACCGATCAAGGCAAGAAGATTGTTCGACAATGCGATAAGACTTACGATGCCCAGTCCATCTACCGGGATCTTTGCAAGTTTTATACTCAGTCTATCAAGGCCACTTCGACTGCCAACACCAAACTGCAATGGTTGACCACTGCTCAACTCACTGCAGACCAATGGCCCGGTAGTCATGTGTCCTTCATTCTTCATTGGCTCGATACTCTTCGCCAGTACCACAAGGTAGCCAAACACCCAACCCCCGAGGAGCAGCTCATCGTCATGTTGTCCAATGCTGTCAGACTTGTGCCATACCTTTGCAACGTGTTCGACACTAGTGAACAATTGGCCTTTCAGAACAACAACAGACCACTTACATTTGACGAGTATGCGTCACTCCTGGAGGCAGCAGCCCAAAACCATGATGAGATCACCAAAGGATCCAAGCCCGAGGCCAATCCTAGGAAGGCATATGCTACTGATGTTGTCACCACTGGTGATCTTGAACTGGATCCTGGCCCTCCCATGTTTGACTTCAACATTGACATGGACCTTGGCAACTACTATGCTTACCGTACGTCTTTGTCATCTGCTCGCAAGACCTTTCTACCTAACGAACTGTGGCCACAATTAGATGATCAAGGTCAACGTGCCTGGCATCAACTTCCTGAAGCTACTAAAGTTGTCATACTTGGTGGTTCCAACAAACCTTTGCCGCCACCACCACCCCCACCACCCCCACCGCCCCCCGTCGTTCTGTCAACTTGCATGATATGTCGGCCGCTGATTTCCTTTCTCAGTTTCAGCATTCGAGCATGGGGAGTGATGTAGGTACTCTGACTTCTGAAACAAATGAAGAGCCGGTTGCTACTGATCTTGCATCAGTTGACCTTGAGCCCGATCCTCTTGCCTACCTAGCTTGTCTGGCATCTTTGGCAACGCTTCCTTGCAAGACATCTCTTTGCACTGCAAAGTTAGAAGCTGCTGGTTCCAACAATCAGCCTCCTGCGCAACCACCTCCATCCCCCCAACATTCTGTCAACTTACATGAGATGTCGACTACTACCGATTTTCTCTCACAGTTCCAGCACACAAGCATGGGGAGGAGTGAAGATGCAGATACTCTGACTTCTGTAACAAGTGAAGAGACCAAATCAGACAAGTTGGCTCTGGTCCCAGCAACCAAGTGTCGCAAAGCTACTCAAGAGGTGAAGAATCACAAGATAGCCATAGATGGAGTTGATGTTGATGAATACGCCAAGTCTGTACCAGATGATGGGTCTGCAGGTGAACAAAGTCCATTTGATAGAGTGGACATCCTTACTAAGAGTAATACAACAGTCACTACTCTGAAGGATTCTCCTGCCTTAGATGATGCTATTGGTTTCTTTGAAACTCATCACTGTGCCATGCCAACAAATGGTCTGTACAAACTACATCCTGGACAAGCTTTTGATCTTGATTGGTTGGAATGTAACATGGCTGGTCTATTTGATTTAGACCCTGCCCATGTGCCACAACTTAGACCACCAGATTTTGAAGCTTACAAGTCAGGCAGGCAACCATCTGTTCTGTTTGTTCCTGAAACGCCTATCAACTTTGTCATTGAGTCTACTCCAAAGCGAGACAAACTCATAGACTTGACTTGCAAGTTGTCATCTTCTGAACCTCGATGCAGCCCACCAGATGAAGGTTATGTTCAAGGTGCTAAGATTGTTGAGCTCAACTACAAGCACAATTGCAACAGGGAGATTCAGCCTGCACATATTCAACTATGCCTGAACATTGACAAAGGTGAATATGAATGTGTCATGGCTTACCAAAACATCCACAAGTGGTCAGAAATTGACAAGGACAACCCCATTGTTTGGAAGCTCAAGCGAGTTGTCTGCCACCATCACTACATTCAACTTGAACACCCTTCTTACCTGTGTCTGACCTACAGTATGGCCATTGGATGGAAACATGGGGAGAATAGCCCAAAACCACTGAGCATCACTGGGGCCGATGATTCAGTGACCTACACTATACTTGCTAGAAATCACAACCTATTGGAAAGTCAAGGTTGTACACTTCTTGGAAATATAGTCAAGGACAAGACAAATCTTCTTTGTCCAACCAATCAAGTCAAGCTGAGATTGCTACACACTACTTCACCAAAGTGTATGTACTACTACAAGATCCAGAAAGACCACAATGGTGTCCTTCAACTTGACAAACTCCATGGCAACATCAACTGGAAACGCACCACCAAAGTCAAGATAGATCTGCTTGCAAGGTACAAGGTCCTTGTGGATATGGGGAGAGGAATCCCAACAGCAAAAAATCACCAAAAGTTCCAAGTCCAACTTGTCAATGAACTTAAATATTGTGGCAAACACAAGCCCAGACTCCTACCTTATGGTGACTCTACCTACGTATTGCAAAACAAAACAAAACCCTACTGTCTATTGACAGACCAATCGGTTGCAGGTATAATCCATCATATGTTGAATAGAACCTCAATTGATTTCTTCTCTAAGGAGCAGTCAACTGTTGAGACTGCTACTTATGGTTCTGAGTCTGTAGCCACTCAAACCTGTGCCAAACAGATCATGGATCTCCAACAAACCTTGAGGTACCTTGGTGTGCCAATCAGAGGTCAAAGCTACATGTTTGGTGACAATGAATCTGTCATGAACAGTTCTTCCCTACCTGAAGCTAAGCTACACAATCAAGATGTTGCATTGTCATTCCACCGTGTGAGAGAAGCAGTAGCAGCTAACATGCTATCTTTTATCCACATTGACAGTACTCTCAACCCAGCTGATATTCTCAGCAAACATTGGGGTCATCAGCAAATCTGGACACTACTACCCACTCTAATGTTCTGGTATGGAGATACTGCTGATCAAGATGACTAGGTCCTCACTTGGTCCCATTTGGAGAGTGACAGAACTCTAACAGGAACGGGACTTGTGACTCCACCTATAGGATTCCCAGGTTGAAGTGTAGCCTGTGTGCCACACGTATCACATGTGCGCAAACTGTTACACGCCATTAATTTAGCGTAGAAAAGAACTGATTCAGCAGTTCTCTGACAAATCAAAGGATTTGCCTGGAAAAGTGATGGATCATCGCTTTTCTCACTGCATGCTTTTTACTCAAAATGATAACGATCAGCTTATAGAAACTAGCCAACTATAGGCTTATAGTCTATTTTCATTTATTTCTGTCACCATCAAACGTCTGAGCACCACAAAAATCCCATACTGAATCCTGTGGGAGTTCTGCACGTGGGTTTTGTACCGGCCTTTCTGGATTGCAAACATAAGGTTTGGGAAATTTGAGTTTTTGTGCAAGGCTTTTGCTTTGCCCATTCCATGTAGATAACAAGTCTTTTAGAATAGTAATTTCCTGTAGAGATGATTATTTTGTATTAGACGGATCGGAGATTGCTATGGTTAGTGCCTCTGCATGACGACTTGATGGGTCACATGTTGGCACGGCTGGTTGGCAATGATGGCTTCATGGGCCACAAAGTTGTCAATCGGTTTGGATGACAACAAGCCTGTAGCTTGTCTGATGTCCGCCAGAACCGAAATCCAACTCCAGGCAAGTGTCACATCTTTCAGACTACTTTCTCTGTGGACTATCAAGGGTCAGATTCAGGAACTGTGGCGGAGGCGCTCTTGTTGACAGTTCTGAATCCTATGGAGGAAGCCATCAACAATTCCCCTAATGAATTGAAGCTACTTCCGATCTCTGATACCACATATAAGCAACCAAATCTTTGGATTCGAAACTCAGTAGATTTATGTAATCGCATTTCAACTTATCGCGCTCTGTTGACTACTGTGATATGGAATACGGTAACTGTCCCTACGCGGCAACCAACAGCAAGCCAGGCAAGAAGAAACTACGCACACGCATTTGCATCGGCTTCTCGGCTGAGGCTTCGGTCAAGGCCGTCCAAGACTATCTTCATACCGGATTACGTCAATTGGGGAGAGGTGCTGGGTGCTACCCTTCTCCCTTGCAGTATGGAGAAATTGTGAAGATCGGATCATGCTCGTTTATTCCTGCAGAAGT